CAAACTGCAAGGAATCTACTGAATTGACATGTCAATACAGCAATCAGTAATATTTTCCATACAATTCTTACCAATATTTCTGATCAGATTAGACCATTATCATAGAATCATAGAAACGTAGAGTTGGAAAGGGCCATGAAGGCCATCCAGTCCAGCCCCTGCTGTTGCAGGACACCATGTCACACCACCCCACTCAGGTGGCTGCCCAGTTTCTCCTTGAATGCCTCCAGTGTGGGAGGGCCCACTGCCTCTCCAGGCAGCTGGTTCCACTGTCGTATTGCTCTGCCCGTGGGGAAGCTTTTCCCGACGTCCAGCCTGAATCTTTTCTTGATGTCCAGCCTGATTATGTCATCCCTAAAGACATCAAGATGCTATTGTCTGGAAACATAACACTCTGATTTGGTGTATGTGACTAGCAGGTTATAAAAGCGTCTGTACATGGGCTGTGATTTTGTAGTTGCGTTTGCCTCTACTTGGGAACACGTTGTCGTTTGTTCCTGCAGGAACCTCACAAACTGAAAACCGAGAGTCGGTCAATCTGAAGTCTGATTGTTAACCTGTAGACCATAAGAGGCCATGCCCGGCCCTTTGCTGACCGCCTGCTCCGCTTCTGGGCGTGGGCCTGGCTGCTGTTCCATCTTGCATGCAAAAGAACCGATTCAGCTCTCATCTGGGCCTTGTTTCCCTTTTTCTCTGACAACTGGGACCCTCCGGGAAAAAGGCCAAAGGCAACAAGCTGCACCTCGAACCTCAGCAGGTTATTGCTGGGAACAACGCAGGTGGAACAACTCCTCCGCAGAGCACAAGCCCTGCAGCAGCGCTGCCGGACAGAGGTGTGCGAGCCAGCTGCAAAATTCCAGAACGTGTACAGAGTGTTTCATAGGTGCGCCCGCAACTGGAGGATTGAGTTCAGTTCTGGGCCCCTCCTTACAGGAAGGATACAGCCAGGTTGGAGTCAGTGCAGCGCAGGGCCACAAGGTTGGTGGCCGGTTTGCAGGGGATGCCGAATGAGGCAAGACTGAGGGAACTGGGTCTCTTCAGCCTGGAGGAGACTCTGAGGGGATCTGTTGGCAACATATACTTATGTGAGGGGGTGTCACATGGAGTTGGGTAGAGACCTGTTCTCCTCTGTGGAGGAAGGCAGGACGCACTCCACGGAGCCAAGCTCAGGGAGTCAAGGCTCCATTTGGATGCCAGGAAGCACTTCCTGACAGTCAGGACCCTGAGGGTGTGGAATGGGCTTCCCCGGGAGGTGGTTGAGGCCCCACCGGTGAGGGTGTTCAAGGACAGGCTGGACACGCACATGGCGGGCATGTCATGAGTGGAGCCAGCTGGGGACAGGCGTCAGACCAGATGGCCCGGGAGGCCCCTTCTGACTCACTCTTTCTGTGTTCTAGGTGCAAACAAGGCACCGGTGCACCAGAAGAATCAGAATATTTCAACCCTTAGTGTTCTGTTCATATCAGAGATACCAGAAATAAACACGTTCGCCCCATTGGAAAGTGTATTTAACATTTAATCCCGAGGTTGGCCTGCCTTGGGGTCAGAGGCCGAAGGCCTTTAAAGGGGTGGATTTCCTGGTAAACTGGAGATGAACTCTAACTAGATGAATGAATTGCAGTATGCGGTATAGATAACTTTCAGCTGATTTAAGCACAGGGCTCATCAGGGCAGGGCTGCACCAGAGCCTGACCAGGAGGGAGGAAAACCATGGGAAGAAAAGCATTTGTGTTTGACCAAGCTAAGAATTGTTTGTTCAGGGAGTACGATTTGAGTTTTTTGAATTACTCCATGCTCACTTTGCTCCTTGTGCGCATGAATAAAGCTGACTAGAAACCATGTCTTGTCTCTAGACTCTTCAAAGGGTATTGAGTCTGGGGTCTTCAGCCCCTGGAAGCAAATCGGGCAACACTGATGAGAAGCACTTGTGGCTGGTTGCTGGCTGAGGGGACATACGGGTATCCGCAACTGCGTTTGGCGTGGAACTGAAGACGTTTCAGAAGGCCAGCCTCTGAGCAAGAGTTGCCAGCTGAACTCTGCAACCCCAGAAAGATGCTCGGGACATATCATAGCCACTCAGGTTGTAAGCCTGGGAGGCTCCTTGCATGATTATGCGAGTTCTTGCAAGAAACCCATGCCAGCGCTTTCCTGGACATGTGGTCTTCCTCCCAGTGCCACCTTGGACGAAGGCGGTCTTTTCGGTGGTGGCCCCGTGATTGTGGAACGACCCTCCCAGTGGAGTCACCTATCACAACCAGGTTAAGAGCACCGTTTCGATGGCTTTAAATTTTGTATACTGAAATTTGATTATCATTGTATTATTTATATTTGTGGTTTATAATTTTACGAATTGTTCTGCACTGCCCAGAGAACATCAACAATTGAAACATACATAATTATAATAGTTATTATTATAAATGGCGGTGATGGTGGTGGCAGGTCAGAGCAAAGGCCTGTGCACCCCGGCATTCTGTTCCCAGAGTGGCCCTCTGGATCCTGACTGGAAGCCCAGGGGGCGGACGTGAGCGCAGTAGCACCCCAATGCCCATGTTCCCCAGCAACTGATGTATGGAGGCAACACATCTCTGAATCTGGATGAAAAACAGAGCCAACATGACTGCAAGCTAACAATGGATTTCTCCCCCCATAAAATCGCCCAGTTAAATTCATGAAATTGCTGGTCGTCTCTTGTGAAAGCGGATTCCAGCATTTAACTACGAGCTGTGAAGGAGTCCTTCATTTTATCTGTCCTAAATGCCCCATTGCTCAGCTTCAACCTCAGCTCAGGTTCTGGTATTCTAAGAGGCAGGAAATACCTCGATCCACTTTTTCTTGTTGAGCCAGAATATTTCTGAACTTTCCCCAAATGGTAACTTTCCCTAAGAGAATTGTTCCATCCCTCAATCTCTGTAGCTGCCTCCTTTCGCCCCTACAGTGATGAAAACTCCATATACATACATATTTGTACAAGAGGAATCCAATCTTGGTAGTGTATCTTCAGTTCCTTTCCTCTGACACGAAATTTGCCTGTTTTGCGGCCGCAACACGCTCGGGGCGGCATTTTCCCCGGCTGACTGCATGACCCCAAGTTCCCTTTCTTGGCCAGCCGCTGCCGACTCAGAGCCTGCCAGCATATCTGTGCGCCAAGGACATGGCTTGAGCTGCACCGGTGCCCTGCTGCCTTTCTCAGCTTTTCACCCACCTTTTTAATAACCCTGAATAATTTGGTGTCATCAGCAAACCTGGCCACTTGCCGCTCATCCTTAACGCCGGATCATTTATGAACAAATTAGAAAGCACCAGCCTGCAATTTAGATGTGTGTGTGTGTGTGCGCGCGCGCGTGTGTGTGTGAGTGAAGTATTTTCCATCACCCCTCTTGTTCTGAAAACTGGTAACAAGCTGTTTGCCGTGCCTGCATCGTCCCTTTTCTTCAGGGCTTGGGGTGAGTTGTATTTCTCCCATGCGATCCTCCAGGCGGTTGATCCAAACATCATGAAAGCCACCACCTCCCTGCAGAGATCGCTTGACCCCAGACCTCTTCCAAGCCGTACTGATTCAATGATGCATGCAATGCCAGGAATGAAAGTTTAAAACTGCTAGATTTATATTTATCATGGGGAAGACATGATGCAAGAGATTCCACGTAAAGGAAGCGCAAGACCGTCTGCGTGCGGCAGCCGGCTGAGACTGCGACCGTTGCCACATCGGTGGAAGAACGCTCTGCACTGAGGCGGCAGCTTGCGTTTCTCTGGGCAAGTGATCTTGCTATGGAGAGACAGAGGCGCCCGGATCAATTGTTGGCGCTTAGTTGGGTGGGTTTCACTAGGACTCCAGGCTCCAGAAGCAATTTTTTGGCATGCCAATGATGCTGTATTAGAACACCGTGGGATGTACAGAGTGGGCTTTCTTTACCGTCAAATCTCCATGGAAGAGGAGTGGGGAAGGGGCTTCAATCGAAAGGTACAGCCCCCAGGTACACAAGAGACCCGGGAGACCTTGGCCGTGGATTCTGCGGGTGAAGTTGCAAAGGGGGCAGAAGGCAGCTCTCTCCCCTCCAGCACAAGGCAGCGCCTATCGCTCGCTTGCATGGTTCCACATCAGAAAACTGGGCATAGGAAAGGGTCTCTCTCTCCCGAACTGACCGCTGGTGCACTCAGCCTGGTATCGTAAGCTGTGAGGGACGGTGAGGCAGAGCAGGGCTGGTCCTTCCCGGCCTTGTAGGCTGAGACCCGGCCTGAGACCTCAGGCACGTGGCGCGTCTGCTCTGGCCCCTGAATCAGGCCCTGGGAGGCTCTCGCCAAGCCATGGAGCTCCGGCCACTGGGCCGGACGTCCTCTTTTCTGGGTTCTCCCAGATGGGATGCTTGGCGCCCAGCCGTGTCTCTTGCGGCACAGAAAGCCACGGGCAGGGTCTGCTGGGAGAACCGCTGCCTCCAGGGCGGCCTTCCCAGGGGCCCCGGGAGATGAGGGGCTTGCGATCCCACACACCTGGCAGGTGCCAGGTTGAGGAAAGCTGCTCTGCAGGCAGAGCGGGGCCCTCCGCAACAGGTGCGGGCTGTGAGACCAGGAGCGGGTAGAAGCGGGGGGGGGGGGTTGGACCAGGAGCGGAAGGAGGTTCTCCAGCGCGATCCGCTTGGGCGGTGGGCACTGGGGTCCAGGGCGGGGAGACACGGGTCTGCCTCAGCTGGGAACCACAAGCTGCCTTGCAGGTGCCACGCGGGAAGCCGGACTGCCCTGGAGCGGCGGAGGGAGCCTGCGCGGAAACCGGGCTGGTGGGGCCCGCCTGGGCGGGGGTGTCTGGGGGTTCCTGGGCCACGTGCAGAGGGAGCCACAACGCACACAATAAATAGAAGGGGGAAGAGGCGGCACGGGCGCTGCGTGGCTGCCCGCCTGTGAGCGCCGTGCCCGTGCCTGTGCCTGGCGGGGGGGACGGCCTCCCAGTCCTGGTCTGCGGCTCCTTCGTCTCCAGCCTCCGGTAAGGCACGTGCCAGGCCTCGCCGTGCCCACGAGGGGGTCCAGGGGCCCCGCCGCCTCCCGGGCCCTGGGAGGCGCCATCCGGAGCGTCTGCTCAGACCGCGATGTTCTCCTCGAAGAGCGAGAGCAGCAGCAGGATGGCCCAGCCCGCCAGCAAGCCGAGGTTCTGCAGGCCGAAGAGCAGCCAGGGCCGCGTGTCCTCCACGTTCATCAGGGCCGGGAGCTGCAGCGAGGACAGGAGGCGCGTGCGCAGGGTGAGCGACGGCTCCCTCAGGGCCCACCCCGGCCTCCCCTTTGAGCTACAGTATTTCCACAGCACCCGCTGCCTGAAGCTCTCTGGGCAATGTGGCATCAAGCATAAGCTCAGGAACAAAGCCGGATGAAGGGCCAAGTTAAAGCCAGCAGCGGGTCTGAAATATGCGCAGCCTTAAGCACCGAAGGACTAAAACGGCTGTGGGCAAACAGAAGGCGGTCAACCTGGTGCCAAAAAGACCACAATGGAGGTGCCGTCCGGAGACCCGGCCCCTTTCCTCAGGGAGGGTCTTCCACAGCCGGGGTGCTTCCTTCGCAAAGGCACTTCCTGTCCCATTCCAGTCTTCCAGCTCATCTCATTGGCTGAGGACAATCTTAGATACGGAAGGAGAGCGTCCTTCCCACCTCCTGTATTCCTAATCTGGACCTGGTGCTTCCTCCACCTCGCTGCCCCTCTGAACCACCCCACGGCCAGCGTGCGTAGTTGCACGCAGCCGGGAAAGCGGCTCCGGGTGCCGCGGTCAGCCTGGACAGCTCGCAAGCGGACGCCAGTTTGGCAGCAGCTCCCTCCCACACGAGCGCCCTCCAGATGCACTGGACAGCAACTTCCATGCTGGCTGGGAATGATGGGAAGTGCAGTCCAAAATACCCAGCTTGGGGAAAGGTGCTGTCAAACTGATTTGATGTTCATGACCTCAGAAGTCCGATTTTTGTTCTTGTGAGGATAAACTGCAGTTTTGGTAAATGGGGGGGGGTCACTCCAATAAAAAGCATTAAAGTCAGTCCTGTGACCAGGTGCCATTCTGCAAGTGCAGTTTTCTGCAGCACGCCGTGCCCCAAGAGTAAATTCTTCACCTCCTGGATGGCCTTGTGCCACGCAACTGTTGCCAGCACGGGATCTCTGGCAAAATAAAAGCTGGCAGTCTCACATGGCTCCCCCCCTGCAAATATCCCCCCAATCCCGCTAGGGGTCACTGATGACTCATTTCAAGAGATCATGCGCGGCTTTTCCACAAACTGCGGCCAAAGCAGCGGAGGCCCAGTCCCCGACCCCCAATTCCCAAGCGTTCCTGGAGAGCGAAAGGAACACGCTGGGAGTTCGAGGTGCTGCAGGCGACCTGCTTCCTAGGCTGGGCCGGCAGGTGACGGGGCAGGCGGTGACTCACCATATCGCACAGTGCCACATAGAGGAAAAGGCCCGTGGCCACAGTGAAGATCCACGCCTCAAACTGCTCCCCCGTGCTCACAGAGAGCGCGATGTAGAGGCCGACGAAGGCCGTGAGGGCGCTGGCGAAATTCAGCAGCAAGGCCCGCTTGACGCTCAGCCCCGCGTGCAGCAGCGCGGCGAAGTCCCCTGCGAGGGCGGAGGAGGGCCGAAATTAAGGCAGGCGCTTCACCGGGACTTCCGTGCACCCTGCTGGATCAGGCCGAAGTGGCGTCGCTAGTCCGGCGCTCACTGAGCAGCCGTCTCCCAGGGAAAGGGAGAAACACTGAAACAGAGCGAGTCACAAGGCGCCTCCCGGGCATCTAGTCTGACCCCCCAAGTCCACATGCAGGACTTCAGTGTAACAGCGCCATCCCACTCACGTTTCCACCCACTGCCTCTGATCCTGGAGGCAACACACAGCCCTAGCCACTAGGAGCCACTGCCGGACGTGTCCTCCCCGGCCACCCTGGCCCTGCAATCTGGGACGCTGCCTTGGACATCCTGCTCAGGGACACTGACAAGGGCTCTGGCTATGGGGTGCTATAAAATGGTAATAAATCGAAAGCCAAGCTGAAGTTCCCTCACTCCAAAAGAGGCACCGTCACCTCTCTATCGGGACCCTTTGCGGCTGCTCGCCAGGGCAAGCAGATCAGCAACTTCCGTGCCTTATTTATTACTATCTGCTGTGAACCGTCCCAAGACGTTGTGATGGGACACTGCAAAAAAGTTTCAGATAAACAAATAAATAAATATCTGGTTCTGAAGCCCTATTTGCTCGTGTTTTTCACTTTTGCAAATGGCTGTCGAGTGTTTTATAACCAGACAAGCGATGAAAACCGTCATCCTGGCACCTGTTATCTTTCTGGCGGGGGCAAAGCACGGCTCCTTTGCCGACGGTGTTAGTGCGGCCATCAAACGGGGCATGGGCCCACACGTGCCTGGAGCCTCGATAAGCACGGGCCGATGATCCTGCAGAGGGCAGCCAAACAGTGGCCAGGTGCTGAGCCTCCCCTCCCGGAAGTCCACCTGCGTGGATTTCTAGGGACTGATCCTGTGACTCGTGCCCGACTCGCACGCCCTCCGGCCGCGGCAGTCGCCACCGCCCTCCACACCCGCGACGCGAGGCGCCCCCTCCGCCGCCGCCGACACCCGCACAGCTCACCCAGCTCGTGCGGCAGCTCGTGGCACAGGACCGCCAGCGACGTGGCCAGCCCCGTCCTCCAGGAGGAGGAGAAGGCCGCGCCGATGGCCAGTCCGTCAGCGAAGTTGTGGATGGCGTCCCCGATGGAGATCATGTACGGCAGGATGCGGAGCTCTGCGGGGAAAGGCGGGAGAGGATGCCTCTGCGCATGGAGCGATGCCCGAGCCTCCTTCCACCCTCCCTCCCTCCCTCCCTCCCTGCTGGCCCCTTCTGCCCCTGCAGCGCTGCGGAGGAGGCGGCATCGCCAGGCAGCGGCCAAGCCCCGACGCCTCCTGCTCGCTCAGTGACCCTCCGGGGGCCTCTGGGCTGGCAGCACAATGCACCATTTGCTTCATCGCCGAAAGGGCTGTGGCAGAAGTGGCCCAGTGGCCTAATGGATAAGGCATCAGCCTCCGGAGCTGGGGATTGTGGGTTCAAGTCCCACCTGGGTCGTCTGTGGTTTTTCTTTTCCTTTTATGTAAAAAAATTGCCTTTATTTTCCCAAAAGCTGACAAAGGTACAGCCATTAAAGAGTGGCGGAAGTGACAGACGGTTGGAGGTTCCAGAGGATTAAAGCCACAGAGGCTTGCTTTCTAGGAAAGTTTGGCGGGGCAGGAATTTGGGGAATGACACCGAGGTCTTGGGTGTGGGAGCAGGCGAGACAAGACGGTCCTGGGAAAGGAAGCCCCAGCTGAGATTGCTGGGCCATCCTACGCCTCTGGATCTACAGCATGAGTCTCCGGAAAAAAACATTCAACAGAAATTCACTCGAACTGGAGGAGGGCAAAGTTTCTGTCCCTCAGGACTGGACTAACGGAGAAGGCCGATCACAATCAGAGGTGCAGCTTCAAGCGACTGCTCCTCCTGAGCCCGGGGGAAATGAGTGACGGGTGGCCCGCGTTTTGCCCCCGGGCGAGCCGTGTCATGGCAGGCGCTTCCCCAAGCCAGAAGCCACAAGAAAATTACGATTCCAGGGAAGCTGCTGCAGTCACGGCTTCTCTGCTCACCTCGGCTGTACCCCTTCTTCTCCCCGTGTCCGAAATCGGCGTCTTCGGAAGCTACCTATAGGAAAGAAGAGGCAGGTGGAAGGAAACAGGGCGCCTGCTGTTCCAAGACCCAGTCCACGGAGCTGCCAGGGTGGTGCAAAGCATCGGGGAAACGGGCAGCCAGACGGCCCGGCACAGAACCGCAGCAGTGGGGGGGGGGTTGGTGGGGGGCATCTGGGCCCCCCGCCTGTGTGGGGTCAAAGCATCCCCGGCAGGCAGCTGTGCGGCCTCTGGCTGAACACCTTCAGGGACGGAGAGCTCCACCCAGTTTGCTTCCTCGTCTGGCTGCTAGGAGAATTTTTCGGACATTCGCTGGAATCGGCCTTCATCTAATTTAAGCTAATTATTATTGTGTGTCCTGCGGGCTCAGCAGATAGACAGGAGGTCTTTTGTGACAACCCTTTAGAGACCCGAAAGCTGCGTCATCTCCCCGTGCACAGTTCCGTCAATCCTTCCTCCTAAGACTTAGTTTCCAGGTTGAGTATTTTATTCAGCATTTGTTTTTAGACTGGATTTGGTTTGCTGCTGGCTTATTGTTTATTCTTTCATTGGCTCTTGTTATCGGGTGGTTGTGCTCGTATTTCCTCCTGTGCTATGTATTTGTTGTATTTATATTGCATTTTAATCCTATTTGTTTATGCTTTCAGTTCGCTATTGTTATTTATTTTTATTTGCATTTTATCTCTGTTGTATATTGGACTGTGAGCCCCCCAGAGAGCCTTCGGATATGGGGCGGCATCCAAATGCGATAGATAAATAGTCCCGTGATCAGTTTTGCTGACATCCCCTGAACTTGATCCGGTTTGTCTCTACCCTCCTTCGCCCGTGGTGTCCGGAAACGGGCACAGGACTCAGCACGAGGTCTGAGAAGAAGCGACTATCGCTTCCCACAGCTGCAGCTATGCTTCTGAAGCAGCCTAAAAGTAAATTTGCGGGTTTTGCAGCGTGCCCCCGGCTTCTCGCCACTAGCCACGTGTTTGCTTGTTTTGCTAGTGTTTGCACGTGAGCAGATTCACAGCTTCGGGCTCGGGAGCTGCGCTTGTGTGCGGCGGAGGCTGCCCTTGGCCAGTATTCGGACTGAAAATTTTGCAGCTGAGAAAATGCAGCTCTTCTTCAGATGGAATTCCTGTTGCTCTGGGGACGTTATGGGGCGGGTGCAGCCCTCTGTTGCGCCAGGACACCCAGTTACACCATCCTGGTCACAGGTGCCCTTGTATATTGTTGGTCATTAAGGTGTGCTCTTACGCAGGCTTAGAGTGGGAAAGGGCCTGCTACTCCCAGCATGTCCCAACGAAGCTTACTGGGCATGCTGGGAGTTTTAGTTGCAGCGTTTCTTTCTCTCTCAACTGGCATAGGATGCCACCCTTCAATTTTACGGGCGAGTGACCCGGTTCCACTCCCGGCACATACCACATCACAAAGCATGTTGCTTTTTAATTCTTCAGTGGTTGGGGAAGCCGATCAGCATTCGCACGTTTTAAACGAAGCAGGACCGCCCCCCCCTCGGTGTTCAGCTGTACCTCCTTTCCTATTCTGTGATGATGCTTTGAAGAGCGTGCAGGCCCCCTGCCCCCCCTGCCCCCGGCTCAGATGCATGCAGCGGCAGTGTGATGGGGGGGCTTCCCTCTGCAGCTGAGCGCCTGCTGGGCTAGCAAGACCAGGGTCAGCCTGCAGAATCGGCGGCTGAGAGGAGGAGGGCTTCCGGCCCGAAGAGCTGCAGCCAGGCGGTGCTGACAGACCCGGGCCAGGTGGGACCAGCTCTGGCTCGGCAGAAGGCCGGCGGCAATGCCCAGTACCACCCCTCTCGCCCAGGCGTATTCCCTCTTCCACCGTTAGATGGGGATGCACACCGCCTGGTCTCAGCGCAGAGCGTGTTGCCGGCACAGCGAGCGGCGGAGAAAGGCCGGCGCTCCGAGAAAGGCCGGCGCTGAGCCGCAGGGCCTGGAAGGGCGGAGGGGCCTCTGAGCTGCCGCCAACCCCTGGGGTGTCGGGGTGGCCATCACGGCCACTGCATGTGAGGACTGTCCAGTCGGGGTGAAAGGCGCGGCCCTCGTCTGCTCCAGAACGGGGGCGGATTTTGGCCGGGGCACTTCTCCGGCCTCTGCAAGGGGCAAACTGGCGGGCCGAAGGTCGGTCGAGCGGCACGTGAAGGGCCCCGCAGCACCAGCACAGGCCTCTTACCAGGTCGGCGTTAGAAGCCCCCTTCTCCTGCTTCCGCCTCTTCATCTCGTCTTGGTAGAGCTGCAGGGACAGGCCGTGGTCACACTGGTGCCCCTTGCCGGACTCGGCTTTCTCCTAGGAATGAGAACGAAGCGTGGCCCCACCTGGCACAGAGAGGCACCCGGCTCCTTTTGGGAATTGGCCGCCGGAGCCGACGCAGCGGAATCAGCCCCTCCGGGACACAGGCACGGGGCCTCGCCGGCGCTTCCGCCTGGCCCCTCGCCCCTTTTTATTGGCAGGGCTCAGCCTTGGAACAGCCTTCCCCAAGAGCACGCCTTCCGAAAGTTTTGGATGACTACGGCCAGGGTTCTTGTCACTGATCGTGCTGGCTGGGGCTGATGGGAGCAGGGATACAAGGAATCTGGAGTGCACCAGGTTGGGCGGGCTGCCGCAGAAGGCACGACGTAATAGTACAGCAGAACTCATGTCCTGCTGGCGGGTTTTCCATTGGGGCATCAGATTTGCCACTGTGGCAACAGAATATCCAGCCTGGCTCTTCTTAATACTGCTAATGCAGACAACACTGCCTCTGAGTGCGTCCAGAAAGCCTTCTCACCAACGAGTGACCCTTTCTGGGACAAGAAGGCAGGGGTCTTACGCCACAACCATGAGCCCTAGAGACCCTTGGCGTCCATCGCTGGAGGAATGGGTTGTGTGGCTCGGGGGGGGGGGTGCCGCCACTTTTCCCCGCACCCCTTCACACGATGCGTGGGCTGTGCGGATTCCAAGCGCAGGATGCATGGAGGCAGCCTGCGCGCTGATCCTCAGCATCACCCGGGGGCCGGGGCTGGGAAAAACCTGCCGTCTGCCACCCTGGACAGCCGCTGCTGCCAGCCAGTGTCCAGCACACTCGCTCGATATAAGGCGACTGCCCCGGTCCCCCTCGTGCACACGCAGCCTCCCCCTTGCGCCCGTGGGCCTTGCCTGCTGCGGCTGCCAGGGCAGACGGGCAGGGGTGGCGCAGCGCCACCCTCCGCCGCCACCCTCCGCCTGGCAGAGCGCTCCCCGCAGGGCCGTCGCGCGCACACGGGCAGCCTTGCTGGGCGCAGAGTGGACTCACCTTGCCGCCTGTGTATCCCAGGAGGATGAAGAACTTCTCAAGGAGGAAGAAGATGTACAGGCCCCCCAGCACGGCCAGGAGCTTCCACAGGGCGTCATGGTCCCCGGCTTCGTGCTGGTCGTGCGCATGACCTTCGCCGTGGGAGTGGGAATGCAAGCCCAGGAACTGCGGAGGCGACACAGCCGGGATGGGGCACGAAGCCGAAGGGCGCAGCCCCTTTCCGAAGGCCGCGCCTTCGCGATGCGTTGCACCCACCTTCCCCAGGATCCCCGGGACTTCATCTCCCAGCGAGCCCCACGCCAGCCCCTTCCTGCCAGCTGGAGCACACGCAGGGCCTTTCTGGTTTTCTCAGAGAGGAGCCAGGGACGGTCCCGGCCGGACCCCACCGAGGCCCCTCTGGTCCACCGAGCGTCAACCGACACACTCACCCGGCAGTGCGCCCCCAGAGCAGCACAGCTGTCCAGGCGCGCATCCCCCGGACGGTCCCGGGCGCACGCAGAGGGCCCCTCCCAAGCCGCCCGCCCCGGTTCCCCCTTGCACTGACCCTGGGGACGAGGTGCAGCAGGGCGTCCCCCGTGAGGGACCCGACGGCCAGGCTGACGAAGGACTGGATCACATACTGGTAGGCGCTGGTGCAGGCGGTGCAGAGCAGCAGCACGATGCCGAAGAGCGAGCACAGGCAGATCACCAGCGTGGCCAGCGAGCCGTAGATGTACCCTGCGAGGGCAGCGGGTCAGCCAGCGCCCGGGTTGGTGAGCCGGCAAATGGGCCGCGGAGGGAACGACCCTCCCCGGCCTTTCCCTTCACAGATCAGAACCCTGCTGAGCTCCCGAAACCTGACAGCGGGCGCTCGACGGGTCCCCCCAAAGGCTGTCCCAAAGAGGGGGTCAAGATCTCTCCCAGCTGATGCCGGAGTGCAGGACGCGGAATGGTCAAGTCAAGCTGTGGCAACCCAGGCTGGGCATTGGGAAGAGCTTCCCCACGGTCTGAGCAATGGGGCAGTGGGACCGGCTGCCCGGAGAGTGGGGTGTTCTCCCACACTGGGGGCATCCAGAGAGAGGCTGGGCAGCCCTCTGAGTGGGGTGGTGGAACTTGGTGTCCCGCAACAGCAGGGGGCTGGACTGGATGACCTTCGCGGCCCCTTCCAGCTCTGCCATCCTATGATTCATTCAGGGTGCGACCCCATGCATGGCTGGGGAGCTCTCGGCTCGGCTCGGCTCGCGCTTTGGTCCCCTCTCCCTGATGCTCTGGTCGACCCTTGTGACGATGGCTCCATCCATGCGGAAGGTCGGCCAGGCGCCGGCGCACGCAGAGGCCTCTCCCGTGGCAGCCTGCCTCGGACCAGGGGACTCCCTGCCCCCCGCACTCCACCCGTGCCAGCCCCCCGGAATGGATGGGGCCACTCCAGGCGGAAGCGGGAATGCACTGTCTGTGTTCACACGTATGTGGCCAAGATCGGTTCATTCGAACCTCGTATCACACGGGATTTGCTCGTATGGATGTTACTTTGGGTTTGGACTGAAGAGTTTGTAACTCAGTCTAAGCCTTTGAAATATGACAGATCTGTTTAAAAAAATCTAAATGAACAAATTAAAGAAAAGCAGTGGTTCTCTCAGCCAAATCCAATTATCCAGCCTTTTTCACATCTCTGGAACATATGGAGTAACTAATAAAGATGATCATGCCTCTGAGCATACGGAGAGTGCTCCCCCCGCCCCCGATTTGTTGCCGCCAATCTGGCAGCTGGATAAGGACGACGAGCAGTGAGGGCTTGCCTTCTGGCCCGCTCAACCCAAGCCAACAGGCCGTCTAGGCAAACCGCTGCTCTCACCTGGACCTGGGCATGCAGCATCTTCTGACTCCACAGCTCCTTCTGCAGCAAGAATGTGACAAGCCTGGCTCTGTCCCATGTACGGGAAAGCTTTCCCTGTTGAATGGCTGCCTGTCCTGCCTGAGCTAAAGGGATTAGACTGCTAAGCAAAAAGCCAGGGGATCTGCTTCCAATGTATCGATTGAAATATGAAAAGTTTTATTCTGCTTTTCTGCCGAGAGAGGCTTCTCTGGGACCCCATCTGGTCTTTCAAGGACTCTTCTATTTCCCCAGGTCTGTTTGTATTGGTTTGAACGGTTACTGCATCTGCTGCTAGGTTTATTTTGGTTTATATTTTTATTTTGTAGTTTTAAACTTTTGTATTCTATCTCGTCACGTTGTATTGTATGGCTTTAATTGAACCACCCAGAGAGTCTCGGCTGTTGGGCAGTATAGAAAAGTAACCAATATAATAATATAATAAAACTGGAAATGCAGTTTCCTAACACAGCACTCAGTTCAAGAATCAAGGAATAGCGGATCTGTGTTAAAACCCACGGCAGCACTGAAAGCAACCTGAGATGTAGCAAAGTCAGACCGAGCGGGCGATAAAAGCAGCAAGCACGAAGCACCCTGTAAACGTTGGGGAAAGGTACGTCTCCCTGATCCTGTCTCAAGGACTTGGGTGCCACTGCCGAAAAGGCCGTGCCGTCCACTGCCAACGGCCAACCTCTGACGGCGGAAGCACCCAAGCAGGACTCACAACCGAGACGCTCGATTCGGACAGGTTCCCGGAGAAATGGGCGAGCCCGTTCCCGAATCGGCTTGGAGGGGCGGGCAAGGCGGACTCACTTTCTGCCGTGGTGAGGCTCCCGGTGACGGGGGTCTTGCGTGGGGTGGAGCAGGCCTTGCTGAGCTGCTGCTGCACCAGAGCAGGGCTCAGGCGGCTGAAGTCGGGGTGCGAGAGTCCCGCGCCAGCGTCGATCTTGTAAATCTCAAGCAGGTCGCTGGAGCTGAAGCAGGCCTGGAAGGAAAGAGGTGCCGCCAGACGGTCAGTGACGCACCCGCAGCTGCTCCCGCCGCCCACGGCCTGCCTCCCCTTGCCACCTCCGAGGCGGCTCTCTTGGCGGCAACAGCACGAAGGGTCTTTTCAGCCGTGGCCCCCAGGCCCTGGAGCAGGCTCCCCACTGAGCCTTGCCTGGCACCAACCCTGATAACTTGTTGGTACCAGTTAAGGCTGTGACAGGGGCTTGGATTAGCTTTATACTACATCGAGGCTGCTTCACTGGCCTTGGGACTTAATTTGAGTAAGCTACTGCAGCTTTTACAATGTGGCTTTGAAGTTTCGTCCTGCATGCTTTATGGCTTGTATTGTACTGTATCTCTATGGCCTCCTTCCTGCATTTTACCCGTTGTGACCACCCCGAGAGCTCCCGCCACTGGGCAGTGCAGCCATGTTATTAATAGCTGTAACGATCCAAGGGCTCCCCACCGTGTCCCAGACTCCCGGGCGGACGTCCCGCTTCTCTGGAGCAGACACGCCTCGCCGCCGGCGGACTCGGGCGCCTTCCGTTTTGTTTCCATGGTGGTCCACCTTATCATCACGGTGGGGACCCATTTCGCTGGGGTGGTGGTGGTCTGTGTCGTTGCCGTGGTGGTGGTCTGTGTCGTTGCCGTGGTG